CCATGCCCTGTTGTGGTAAAGCCCAATTCTCTGGCAGGAAAGGCAGTCCCTGGATGTGCTGCAGGGCTGAGCTTGTTTCAGGACAAGGATAAGGAGTTTTATTTCCCAGCTGGACTCTGCTAACACTTGTTCCTCTCAAACAGTGAGCGCTGTGTGAGTGGAGGGCTCTGTCTACATCTCAGCAGCAGCTGATTTAGGGAGGCTGAGGGATCCAGGATGGCTGAAAAGGTGGGAATCCCGGTGTAAGTGCTGATGGCCAGCATGGGACCACACCTAAAATAGAAACCAGAAGGCCAAAAGGCAATTCTTTCCAAAATGTGCTGAGCAGAGCCCCAGGCTCAGCATCACAACTGGGGCTGAAAGAGCCCAGACTGATGAGGGGAAGCTGGTGAAGGAGCCAGGAGGGCTTTTCAGGGACAAAGCAGATATTCTGGGCTTTCAGCAGCAGGATGCTTTTGTCTGGAGGAAGTCTGCTCCCCTGGCTTCCAATTTTACTTCTGTTCTTCTGTGTAGGGCTTGGTTTCCTCAGTTCTATCCAAGTACGTGAGGAACAATGAAGGAGGCACGAGTGGAACTGGAGGCATCTGAGAGCAGAGAGCAAACAGCACCACTGCTTCCCTGAGTGGTTTGTCTGGGGTTTTTTTGGCTTTGCTTCTTATCTCTCCCTGAGCTTCACACAAACCATTGAAACCCAGGTCCGGCCCTGCACATCCTGTCTCTTTTTTACCTGCTGGAGGGTTGCCCACCATGTCTCAGGGGGCAGGAGCACTCCAGTGTCTCCTGGTGTGACCCAGCAGTGCTTCCCAGGATGGTCTGGTTGACCTTTGTGATGCTGAACCCACCAGCTGTGCCGACAGTGGAACAAATTGCTTCATGCAGAGATGTCCTGTCTCCCAAAGTAGCCCCAGAGACAGGATGTCAGAACAATCTCCAGCTCCTAAAAGGGCTGGGAATGGCTTTTCAGCTTCCCCTTAAATATCCAGCATGATGAGTTGTGCCAGTAGATCTGCTCAAAGCCCCACTTTCTGCAGCCTGACAAGAATATGCTGAAAGGCCACAGGAAAACAGCCCAATTCTGTTTCCCCTTCCTCCTCCCCAAATGTCTGTCACAAGGAGTTCCTTCCAGTGGTATCAAAGGTGGGCCACAGCCACTCTGTGCCCGTGGGAAGTCCTCACCAGCCTGTGATTGCATCCTGCTCTGTCCCTGGAGGTGCCAGGGGTTTGAGAAGGGCTCAGTGGCAGCTTTTCAGAACAGCAGATCCCAAGGGCAGATTGCTTTCATAGGGACACCCACTGCAGCCAAGTGCATCCCTGTGTTTCCTCCTGCAGACCAGGGACCTGGAGCCAGCTCCCTTTTCACTCTTGGCCACTTGCCCTGTCTGTCCCCACACCAGCCAGCACTTTCTTTTTGCAGTTTTCACCGTGTTATCTAAAACCATCTTCCTTGGTGGGCTTGGAACCAGATGATCTTTACAGTCCCTTCCAACCCAAACCGTTCTGGGATCCCTTAGGCAGGTTCTCATCCTCTCCCTGGGGAGAGAGACAAGGTAGGGGCAGGGGCTGGGAAGTTGTGATTATCCCCTTGCACTGATAAAACACGAGCTGCCAGCCCCCCAGGATGGGCAGAGCAGTGATGTTGGCATTGCAACACTTCACAAAGGCTTTAACACACTTCAGCAGCCTCCTGCCTGGTGCCACGCTGATGAAAAGGTGTTGACAAAAGAGTGATTTTAGCACCCTGGTTAATTAACTCTGCTGCTGAAGAGCAGGAGCAGAACAGTGCTTTTGGGGGAGAGGGAGGAATGAACCCTCCTGTTCATCACCACTGCTCTGCTGCCAAGGAGTTACAGAGCCAGCACCTCTGCAGAAATGCTCTGGCAGCTGCAGACAACTCCCTGAATGCTCATCAGCTGGCACAGCTCAGAGCTGGGATGCTCTCTAAGGGCCGGTGTCCCTTCCAATAACTCCCAGTCACTTTCCTGAGTGCAGGAATGTCCTGAGTAAACATCTTTTTGCTCTTCCTTGCAGCAGGCTCAGGAAAGAGGAGTCCTTACTTAGGCCTGGCTTTGGGGAAGGAAGCCAAGGACAGGCCCCCAGTGAGGCAGAGTTCCTGGAGCAGAGCTTCAGGTTGCACTTCACTTGGTGTAACTGGAGTAGATGCTCCGGGTGTCCCTTGTCCTCCCCTCCCTTGTGACTCAGGCACTCTCTGAGTGTGTGGCCAGGGAGGAGCTGGCTGGGAAAGCTGACAGGGATTTAATTGCTTCTGGCATCCAAGGGCACCCACCCACAGCCTGGGCTGGTCCTGCTTCCCCACACCAGCATTTCCATGAACTCATGCCCTGGCAGAGGGAGAACTGCCCAGCACAGCCGTGACAATCCCTGCAGCTCTGAGCATCCAGCGTGGACAATCCACACTCTTCTCCTGAAAAGTGGCTCTGTTGTTGGGCTGATAAATGTCCCTATTTTTTTGCCCCTGGGGAATGGGGTGTAGATCCTTCCCTTGGGCTGCCACCACAAAACCTGGGAATGTTGCCCAGCCTGCCCTGGCATTGCTCTTTCACGGGGAGGGGGATGATGGCAGCCCCAACTATCCTGCTGCCACAGACAGGCAGAGGGATTGTTCCCATCAGCAGCTCAGCAATGTGGGAATTGGGGTCCTATTCAGCTGCAGGAGGTGCTTGGGTCGGAGGGAAAGCAGTGACTGAGGTTTGGGAGGTGACTGCTGGCACTTAGAGGTCATGTGTGCCCTGTGCCAGGACACACTGATCCCCCCGAGTCTCCTTTTGGGAAGCGACACTGTGTTTTCCAGCAGTGGATCATAGGATCACACCATCCCATACTCCCTCCCACTTGGCATTTTTCAGCCCTCAGCAGCTAAATAGGGTCAGATCTGGCCAAAATTCCAGGGACAGATGCTGTTAACCAGCAATGGCCCTGCCCAGTAAGAGGGATCCAAGGCAGAATCCGTGCCCAGGTACATGGATGGTCAGTGCCACTCCAGGCTGGGTGTCCCAGAGCACAGGGACTGTCCCAGGCTCAGCCCCACAGCCCCATCTCGAGGCTTGGGCACACCCAGAGCAGCTGCTCCTCCAAGGCACAGCACCAGCTACAGCAGGCATTTGCAAACAATACATGAAATCCGGGGAAATTCCATCCTGGGGGATCACAGACAGCTAAAGGGGGGACCAAAACCACAGTGAGAGCCCAGCCAAGTCCCAGGGGAGGATTCCCAGCACAGGGTGCAGTTGGTGACACATTCTGCGGGCACTGACATACAAGGAGGACCAGCAGAGGGAAGGAGCCCTTGGCAGCACTCCCTGATTATTCCTCCTTTAATTCCTTCCATTCATTCTCACCCAAGTTCTCCAGCAGAGCTGGAAACAATCCCCAGTGACCAGTTAGCTCAGGGAAAGAGAAGGGAGGGGAAGGAGGACGGGGGATCTTCCCCGAAGCCATTCCAGTTACAGTGAAGCTGTTAGCAGCACAAGTGGAGAGAGCACAACAAGACTGTCCAGAACACGTGTCACTGGGGTTATATTACCATGCAAATCCTGCCAAATTAACCTGGAGAGTTATTCACAGAAAATTCAGCACTTGGAGCGTTCGACTGCCCGTGATGGGATGGGGAGCAGCACATCCTCTCATGGTATGTGCAGCAGGTTCCAGCTTCCTTTCCCTGGCCTCCCTCAGAGGAGGAGTGTAGCATCCTTCCAATAAATTCCGTGTTGTCCTTGGCTCTAAAAGATGATATTCCTGATTTCAGTTCAGCCTGACAGATGGTTTGTATTTGCACTACCCCCAGCTGAGAACTCCAATGACTGGAGGCATCAGAGGGCTGAAAACCACTGAGACATGGCATCTTCCTGATGCCTTCACCTGCACTGTTCACTGGTGAGGGAGGAGCAGGAAAGGACAAATAAATGTGGACCTGACCAAAGGCTGGATGGAAATGCATTTTAGTGTCTTCCGAGGTCCATCAGTAGCAGGTTAGTGCCATGGCTTTGAGCATGGAGATGTCACAGGGAAATTAAATCCATACATAGTTTGGACTTAAAAAAAAAAACAGTTTAAAGACATTTCTGTCCTCCTGCAGCACTTTGCTGAGCAGAGCTGTGCTCTGGACTGGTTTGGGAGCTCTCAGGACAAAGCCCTGCCTGTGGGAGTGCAGAGGAGGCATCACCACATCTGTGGGCACAGTCCCTGCCTGGCACATCAGCCCTGCACCCAGCAGGCTGGCACAGCTGCCCTCAGCACTTGATCCAAGGCTGAGGATATTGAGGGTGGCTCTGTACTCTCTACAGGAAATTTAGGATCAAACCAGTTTCACGTCAGAGCTCCGGCACTGCTGGGAATGCTTTGTTGTGGGCTCTGCCCGTGCCAGGACACCCCGAGGTACAGCCTGAGCCGTGTGCTCTGCTACTGAGATTTCAGGTAGATTCATTTCCCCTTTGTTATTAAAATTTTCTGCAGAGTAAAACACCAAATTAAATCGATTTTTGCTTTATTGGGAAGGCTGTAGCAAATAACTCTGAGCTTCTTTGCAGGGACAGCAGTGGGGATGGTTCACTACAGTACTTGCAGCACGGCCAGGCTGAAGAATCCTTTCCTTGTAAAAGCAGTTGGATTAAACAGGTGAGCAAAAGGAACAGCAGCTCATATCAAATATCTGTGCCCAGTGAGCAGACACTGCCCCCAGGCAAAACCTTGTTATCCTGTAGCACGATATCCCCTTTCCATGGAACAGAACTTTCTTGTTTTTCCTCAGCCCTGCCAGAAGCTGACAAGTATTTTTCTCCTTTTTTTTTTTTCTCTCCAATTCACTGGCACCTGTAGCCACCCCTGGTCGTTTCTCAGGGTGGTACCAGGGCCATGCAGGGCAAGGAGACTGGAAAAATCAACCCTCAGAAGGAAAAGAAAAATTACCTTTTACCTTACAGTGCTTGTGGTGTGGAACAACAGGTACAGCGTGGCTTGAGGCAGAACAGAGAGAAACTCCCTCGGGGCGTTTGGAATCTCCTTTATTTCTACAGAACACTGAAAATGGTTATACTGGGGAGGCAGGGGAACAGCATCCAGCGGGAAGACACAGCCTTGCAGTGATGAGCAGCACACAGACCCCACTAACACCACTACAGAGACCGCGGGGATGGGACGGGATGGAGCTGCCCTGCCTTCCCCTGCCTCTCACCCGCGCCGGGCCGTCCCTCGGCTGCAGTTTTTGGCAATGCCGCGTGACAGGGGATCTGTGCTACCACTTCAGACACCGCTGGAATCACGAGGGAGCCACAGCTGACCCGGCCGAGCATCAGCTCGGGCCCCGCGGGAGCTCCGCAGAGTCCCGGGGAGGGACCGCGAGGGGATGAGGAGGGACGGGGAGGGGAGAGGACGGTGCTGGCGCTGCCAACTCACACCCAGGCCTTGACCTGAGTGTTCCAGCCCCTGGCACAGCCACAAGGACCTCCCCCCTCATAGCGGCACCACTTGCCCCCCTTGTACACGGCCAGGCTGTAGGGCTGGAAGCACATGAAGAGCCGCAGGCGCCGGGCCAGGCTGCAGTAGATGGCCATGGCCACCACGATGAGAGGGGACATGATGACAAAGCCCAGGATGATGAGGGCAGAGGAGCTGTTGTCATCCAGGATGCTCTTGCAGTAGCGGGCAGATGAGTGCAGGACCTGTGGGGAGAGTGAGACAGAGCTTAGAAACAGAACCACAGAGCCACTGAGAATGGAAAACACCTCCAAGATCATCCAGTCCAAACATTAATCCACACTGCCAGATCCACCCCTAAGCACCACATCTACAGCTTGTCACAGGCCTGGTGGTGGGTGGGGACCCTTGAATTCCCAGTGCTTTCACACAAAAACACCTCTTCCCTCTCTCAGAGCCGAGCTCAGCACACTTCAGGCTGCACTAGGTGATGACATCACATCTTAATCAAGATTATTGCAATTATTCCAGCATCGCTGTGAGACAAGGACACTGCACACTGATCCTGAAGCAGGAAAGACTAATCTTTATTAAATCATCAAATAGCATTTGATGGGCAGCAAAAGGCCCCCTGGTGCTACATCCATGTGTGTGGAAATTACAACAGAGTAAATAAAAACACAGCAAGATGTGAGATCCTGCAGACAGAGCTTGGTCATTCCATAGCTACTTGCTGGCTGGAGACCCTCCAGACTCCTGCCCTGGAACAGACCCTTTGTGTTCTGTCCTCTGTACACACTGGACTCGTTTCTGCCTCTGAGCATCTCTTGGCACTGAAAAACCTGCCAGGAAAGGCCATTCACTCCATTTGCTGCAAAGCAAAGACCAACTGGGCCTCGCTGAGTGGTATTTAAAGCCCTCCTTTCGTGCTGGCAGCAGCAGCAGAGCCGAGCTGAGCACTCAGTTGCTGTGCATTAACAAAGGCTGCAGGCAGCCCCGACGTCCCCAGACTTCTTTTCTTTTTCCCCTGTCCTTTCAGCAGTAAAAGAAACACAACCCATCACACTGCAAAAAAAAAAACAACAATAAATCCATCTAATGGACCTGCAGTGCAGAAATCAGCCTCTGGCTACCAGGAAGGCATTGAAAGGCCCAAAGACAAAAGGACTGCTCCTGTGAAGCCAATTGCCACAATCCCTTGCTATGATTGTATTAAAGAAAAGTCTGTGTTAAAAGACTCCTCGTGGCTTCCAGCAACACAGGGGCTTTCACTTCTGTCTGTTTGGCTGCACTCAAAAACCTTTTGCATCTCCTGAAAGCCTTTGGCTGTGCTTGCAAAGGAGAACTTGAGGTTTTCCAAGGTGAGGGAAGCTGGAAGGGGCAATTCTGGGAGCCAGTTCTCATCTTTTTTTTTTTCCCATTTTCTGTCCAATTTGAAGCCAATAAATTCTGACTTATGAAACAGTCACATTGAGCTGGTCTAACAGTTAATGCCTGCAAGGGAAGCAGGAGAACTGCTTTTTCACCTCCATGTTTTGTCAAGTGATCCTAAAAATATTTATAGGAATATACCAAGCAGAAATTTGTAAGGAAATAATGCAATCCAGAGGACAACAAACAACTGGAAGAGCCACGCACACAGCCAGAGCCTTTATGGGCAGAGGGGGCTCATTTTTGGTGTGAGGAGCTGCACAGCATATTTAGGAACACATCTAAATGTTAGACTGGCGTAGGAAGGGGATTAAATATTCTGTCAGACTTTATTAATTCTATCTTGAGGCATTGGGCAGATCCAATACCACAAACTTACTTAAACAGAAAGCAGCAAAGCCTTCCAGAGCCCAGGCAGGACTGTGAGTTACAGAGGAGTTCAGGTTGGCAGCCCTCAGTCACAGACAAGAGAGAAATGTTGTGACATTAAAATGCAAACAGCATCTTAATCAAAATCAAGCCGGGGAGTGTGTTCACCTCACCTGGCACTGCTGCTTTGTATTTCCATGGGGATACAACTTTATTGCCCAATCAAGCTGCCATTTCCCACAGTACCTGTTCTTGTCAGCCCAGATTCTACACATACCCCCCTTAGGAAAAAAATCTGTCCAGGCACACACCCCTTGTGAAAACAAAGCCAAAGCTTGGGGTGTCTCACCTTACCTTTGCAGCCACTGCTCAAATAAACCCTCAGGGGTGGCCCTAAAGTGGCTGGGAGCAACCAGAGGGAGCGAGGCTTTCTTACCTGGGAGTGGCACTGGAAGCCAAAATAAACCACCACGATGGTGGGGAGCAGCACAACGGTGAAAATAACAAACATCAGGAGCAAATTAATGAGGAAGACCAAGGAGTTCATGGTGCCTATGACCAGGGTCCACGCCAGGCAGCACCAGGGGTTGCGTTGCTCCCTGGGCAGGAGCTGGTCATCCATGTCATAGGGTGGGAGGCCAGGGATCATCCGAGACTTTTCTGAGAGGTTTTCTGCTCCAAAGTCCTCGGTGTCCTGGGCAGACATTCTTCAAAGGAGATCAGTCAGTCCAAGCTCTTATCCAAAATGGTGTCTTTGCTTTTGGAAGCAATTTGCAAAGGCTTTTTCTGCCTCTTCCACACGTGGACAAGAACCCTTAACCAGAGATCATTATGAAGCAAGGAAGGAAAGGTGCCTTTCCTTCCTTCTTTTCTTTGCCACCTGCTTCCTCAGGACCTCACCAGTACAGGTTGTTTTCTTGAGGTGGTTTCCCAGCAGTGTCCCAACCTCAGTTCCAAGTAGATCTGGCTGCTGGAAGTTTGGCAGTAGTTATTGTCTTGGTTTAGAATCCAGAGTTCTACTGAATTTGCTGTTGTTCTTCCCAGGATTATGATCCCAAGAGGTCCCAGACAGTTGCTGTCTCAGCTGCTCAGTTCCAGAAGGTGACTGGCTTTAGTGTCCTCCTCCTCCACCTTTGAGCACTGCTGGGTCTTAGGAATATCAGGCTTAGGCACTGACAGACACTTCCTAGTCTTCAAACCATCTTTCCATGCTCTTCACCCTGTAAACATATAAATATTCCTGCTCAAGCCTCACCCAAACAAGGTGACCAGTGAAGATAAAGAGCAGGAGGTGTTTCTCCCCTCTCTGGAGTCCTTGCCCACACGGTTCAGACCTGGAAGGGGAGGTGGGAGCGGTGTGTGGTGTCACTGCTCTCGGCTGTCTGCGCTCACAGACACTCAAACCCAGGCAGTGTCGTCCCTTCTGAGCCAGCTCTCAGCTTTGCAACACTGCTTTGTTTACAGAACAGGCTCAGAAGCTGCTCTCTGTGCTGGCCAATCCTTCACATCTGTCTCACCAGGGATGTGATTTAGCACTCAGCACCCAAGAGCCACACTTGAACCATCCATCCCCAGGGAAAGATGGTCCCTCTCCAACCTCAATTATTCTGCCTCTGATTCATTTTCTAAAATTCCTCTCTAGATTAAAAAATCTCTGAGAAATTGATAACAATCACTGTATACCTCACAAATCATCTGTCCCCTGCAGTCATCACTGTTACTGATTGCAGAACATATTGATATTCTTGTAGTGAAGGCACAGCAATTATCAATTATTTAATCTGCCTCATATGATCAATTTTATTTAAGAATTACAGTGGCATCTGCATGTTTATGTAGCCTTTTAGACACAGCCATGGTAATGAGAGAGAGAGATTAAAAAACACGGAGAGAAACAACCTTTAAAACAGACATCAGAGCATGAAAAGTCCATTTCCATCATGTTCCTTCACATGGCTCCCAGGGGAGGTTGCAGGCCACTCAAGCTGCAAAATGTGAAATTTCTTCACAGATCTGTCCAGACATCCAGAGGGAAATAACTGCTGTATCCAGCCTGCCTTCAGTGCTGAGAGACAGTGTTAATAAAGCCTGAATCTGTGCAGGAAACCAGATGGTGTTGGGTGTAATAAATGTGACAAGTGGCACAGAGGCAGTGAAAGAGTCCCAGTATTTACTCTCCCATCTAAAAGCTGCTGATTTAAAGATGTAATATTTTTCAAGCTTGATTTATGTCTTCTAAGAGGAAAAAGGACATGTCACACAAAGAACCCAACACAAAACTATAGGAAGAACAATTGAGGTTGGGCTTAAACCATGGAAAGATGAGCTTGGTGCTGGGCAACTCAAAATCCTACAGCTGGTTTTACCATCTGGCGAGGGCACAGTGGGGTAGTACAACACAAAGCTCCTTAACTAGTCATAAAAATGCCATAAATTCTAAAAAGCTCTGCTAAATCCAGAGAAACTTTCCAGAGTTCTTTTGCTGTAATGAAAACACATTTTAACCTGTGGGAGGTCTGTAAATTTATTTTCCTTTAGAGAAAAAAAATTCAACACATGCAGATTCTAATGATTCTTCTGATACTGTGTTAAACAAATCCCGGTGATAGTAAGAGAGATTGCCCAAGCCTCTAATTCTGTGAAATTTCCACTTCCTTAACAAGCACCTGCCCAGAAATGGGAAAGATATCTGGATGATGGAGCAATTCCTACCAGGAGCATCATTGCTTTGAAATGCTGGAACTGGTACTGATTAAAGAGGATCAGACAAATTCATTAGTTCTCTGACGCCAAGGACTGCTGCTCCTAAGGAATAATTTTCTGGCAGCACCATCTTGTGGTTTGCTACAGCTCATAAATTTTTATTTTATGTCTCACAATCTCTTACACACAGGACGGTTCTACCCAGGTTGGAATCGTCCCAGTCACTGCAAAGAACACCAAATCTTTGCACGGTGCTTTAGCGTTGCTGGTTTGGGCACTTGTTGGAGTTACAAAGCCCAGGAGCACAGAGATGAGAGGACAGAGTCTTAAACTGCACCAGGGGAGGTTTAAGTTGGACATCAGGGAGAATTTCATCACAGAAAGGGTGGTCAGGCCTTGGAAGGGGATGCCCAGGGAGGTTTGGAGTCCCCACCCCTGGAGGTATCCAAGGAAGGGCTGGATGTGGCACTCAGTGCTCTGGGTTGGGGGACAAGGTGGGCATCGGGCACAGGGTGGATCCATGGGCTGGGAGGGCTTTTCCAGCCTCAGTGATCCCGGGATTCTGTGAGAGCGGACAAGGCAAGGCGCGGGGAGCGGGGCTGGGAGCCGGGGAGGGCGGAAAGGCCGGGGAAGGACCGGGAAAAGGGCTGGGAAGAGGATCGGGGGAAGGACCGGGAGAAAGACGGAGGGAAGGATCGGGGCAAGGATCAGAGGAAGGGCCAGGAGAAGGACCGGGAAAAGGATCGGGGGAAGGACCAGGAGAAGAACCGGGAAAAGGATCGGGGGAAGGACCACGAGAAAGACGGAGGAAAGGATCGGGACAAGGATCAGAGGAAGGGCAGGGGAAGAGTCGGGGAAAGGACCGAGAGAAGCTCCGGGGGAAGAGCAGGGAAGGACCGGAGAAAGGACTGGGAGAAGGATCGGGGAAGGATCAGGGGAAAGGCCAGAAAGGACCGGAGGAAGGGCCGGAAAAAGGATCGGGGAAAGGTCAGGGAAAGAACCGAGAGAAGGTCAGGGGGAAGAGCCGGGAAGGACCGGAGAAAGGACTGAGAGAAGGATCGGGGAAGGATCAGGGGGAAGGCCAGGAAGGACTGGAAGAAGGGCCGGGAGAAGGACCGGGAAAGAGCAGGGGGGAGCACCGGGGGAAGGAGCGGGGAGCGATCGGCAGAGGGACCGAGGGCAGGGCCGGGGAAGGCTCGGGCCCGGCTGAGGGGCAGGGCCGGGGAAGGCTCGGGCCCGGCTGAGGGGCAGGGCCGGGGAGGGTTCGGGGCCGGCTGAGGGGCAGGGCCGGGGAAGGCTCGGGGCCGGCTGAGGGGCAGGGCCGGCGCCGAGCCCGCCCCGGAAGGCGCGGCCGCAGCCATGGTGGTGCTGAGCGCGGCGCGGTGGATCCGCAGCCGCCTCACCGACCGCTTCTGGAGGAAGCAGGAGGTGCTCAAGTACGCGCGGGTGAGTGCGGGCCCTCAGCCCCCCGGGTGTCCCAGCCCTTCCCCCGGCGCTGCCGAGCCGCGTGTGGGGTCCCTGCGGCGCTCCCCGTCCCTGCGAGTGTCCAAGGCCAGGCTGGAGCGGGCTTGGAGCAGCCCGGGCTGGTGGAAGGTGTCCCTGCCCATGGCACACTTCAAAGCCTGTTCTCACCCAAACCATTCCGTGATTCACTCACACCAATTTAGCGTGTTCTGGGTGTGTAAATTGGTCTCTGTTTGGTTAAATCCATAAGCGCATCTGGTACTCGTGCTGCAGCACAGCACGTGTGTGCATGTGCATGGGCACGAACAACAGCAAGAATCCTGAGAAGAAGGAAGAAATAAAAGCACTGTGACAAGATCAGTCTGCAAATCCATCGTGCTGTAGGCCAGTGTTGATTGTGGCTTTTTTTGTTTTTATTTTTTTTTTAAACTGGGCAAAGGAGCTGGAATAAAAAAAATTAACCTTGCTGTTTAAGTGCGTTTTTAAGGGGAAAGAGGCTGCTGCACAATGTGACTTCAGCTAAAGGTCAGGCTACTGAACCTTTCTCAAGGGCATCCTGGGAGGTGTAGTACATCTTGCTGTAATACTGAGGTAGAAAATGTTGAAGGGAGTGGGAGTGTCTTGCTTTTGTAGCACCTGAGCTGCCCAGAGTCCCAGTGGTAGATATTTCTGCCTGCTTCCTCCTGCATCACTTTAGATGGGTGTCAGTGGTACCTCCAGTAAACTCCTTTCATTATACTTTCTGTTTGGGTGACTTTTTGATGTATCTGAGGCTCCTCTTCACACAAACACAATGAAGGGGCAGCTCAGGAAAGAGAATGAATGTGTGAGTTTAGGGTTGGGTGAAAGCACTGGCGATGATTTTGTGGTTGTCTCCTGGAACCACAGCCCAAAGTAAGGTCTGGTTTTGGCTCCATGCTGGACCATCATTTTCTATCCTGCTCCAACTTTTCAACCTCACATTTCCCATGCTATAAACCGAGGAAAGAATATTTTCATTACACGCCAGCTGAAGTGAAGTGAAGAAGTGAAGAGTTCAGTGATCCTTGGCTGTGGAGAGCTGTGAAATGCCACTGAGCTTATATTGGTGTTGCTGAAGGGTTTGACAGCCTTAAACATAACGAGAACATCCTGCTTTTGTTCCAGCATTTTCGTGGGAGGAAGAACCGCTGCTACAGCCTGGCAGTGAGGAGCGTTCGCAGGGCGTTTGTGAGGTCCACCAAGGCCAGGGCAGAGAAGAAGAGATTCCTCAGAGCGGTAAAGAGCAACACGTTGGGTGTGAACATGAAAACGGGAGAGAGGCAGAAGTGAAACTGCCATTTCCTTACTGGGGGGGGTTCCCCCAAAACCAGTCAGTGAAAAATATGTGTTCAAAGTAAGGATTTTCAGTCCCTGTGTGGCCTGGAATGGCTCGTTCAGAAGTTACTATGTGCATGTGATGCACTGAGGAGGCTGTGGGTCTCTGGTGAGCAGTGGCAGGACCTGAGGAAACGGCTGGAGCAGTGTCAGGGGAAGGTTAGGTTGGGTCTCAGAAAAAGGTTCTTCCCCCAGAGGGTGGTTGGGCACTGGACAGGCTCCCCAGGGCAGTGGGCACAGCACCAAGGCTGCCAGAGCTCCAGGAGGGTTTGACAACACTCTGAGCGACAGGGTGGGATTGTTGGGGTGTCTCTGCAGGGCCAGGAGTTGGACTGGATGATCTTTGTGTGTCCCTTCCAGCTCAGGATATTCTGTGATTCCATGAAAATGTTGTATTTAGTGTGAGCAGACCAGCGTGGCAAAAGGATTACTTTTAAAGTATTTTATCACTCGAGATGTTCATTTTGACCCTTTCAGCTCTGGATCACAAGGATTGGAGCAGCTTCCCTTGAACATGGTTTGAAGTACCCAGCCTTCATAAGCTACCTGGTTAAGGTAAGGATGGGGCTTGGAGAATAATTATTTACTAATTCTAGTGATGAAAGGCCTTCTACTTGTGAAAGCAGTTTAATTCACTTCAGGAATTAAGTTCTGCCCTAAACCTGTTTCTCTTCCTTACATGCATCATCCCCTTTTATCCTGGTGAGCACTGTGGTTCTACACCTTGTTCTGTCCCCAAAACTCTTACTGAGCATCTTAAGAATGAGAGTTGTAAAATGCTCTTACACTGTTGCTATTGTGGGCATTAAGTGACAACTTGCTTTCCTTTTACTTGAAGAAATTTGGAAGAAATTTAAAAATACAAAGCTTGGAATAGAAAAAAAAACACCTTAAGAAATCTCTGTTCTCTTCACTGACTTTGTGCATTGCTGAGCATGGACAGTGCAGAGAGCTGGTGCCACTGTCCCTGTTCTTAAACATTCTGGGAATTGGTTTTAATTTGTTGATACAGCTTTTAATGTGTTGAGA